TTGACCTGACTCATATTATAAGCTGTACTATTTCCTATAGATCATTTTCCAGATGGTTTTGCTATGATTAGTGTCTGGCGAAAAGCTTCAGCAGGTATTTCCTTTGCAACTTCTCAACCAACAATTGGTCCAGCTATCAACACTATTCTAAAGTTTTGAACAACTCGACCTTCAAGATATACTTATCTACATGTGCCAATGTTTCCATTTATCAACGTTATATCTTAAGATCTGTGCATGAACTCGGCTAACAGATGTTTCCGCACATAAAAGCTATCTTCAAATTAACATTTTATTTTGATGATCGAAATACCAGCTCACCTTTTCCACCATGGACATAAATATATATATACACACACAAGTATTTAAATTAAAATAGTAAATGAAAAACTTTTTCAGAATTACAATCAGAAACACCCTTACATATTTGGATGATGTATCTTTAACATCCTCCTTAGCCTCACAAATTCTGAATATCGCCGATGAATGGAGGACTTGGGCAAGGAAAAAGATTCATTGTTGGTCTGAAAAGTAAATACATTTTCAAAAGAATTAGACATTAATATTGTTAAGACGATATTAACCATTTCTATATCTATAATGAAAACCAAAGACATATTACTGAAAACACTGTTTTAAATCTGAATCTTTAAACATTTGTATAGAAAATTAGTAGACTTTCAAAATATAAATAACAATCTTGCATCAGTATTTTGACTTTAAAAACTTGATAAAGATTTCTTTTGTGTACAGAATGAAGGGTTTAAGTTATATATACATCAGCTTTTTCTTTGAATTGCTACAATCTCTATGTTGAATACCAAACACTGTCAATAACCTTTTTCCAGCAAATGATGTTTTCTAACATATATCTCAAGCAAAATACAAAACAAGTGAAAAAGAAACAGTTACAAGTACCATCAGATTTGTTAATAAAGCTAACTTTTTAATAATAAAAAATATAATCTTAATGAAGTGTAGAATTCCCCAAACTAACCTAATTCAATGACACATGGCAAATCAATGAACATACTGGGCCTCATATTTCTGTTTTTGCCAAAATATATAAAAAACTTTCCTGATAAAAGCATTCTAATATTTAAAACAGTATGTCCAACACATAATATGGAATATAATTAATTGGTAACATCTATGTTAGGTATTCTTCAAATACACACAACAATTAAGTTACTTGTGATGATAAATGATATTACAATCACCTAACACAAATTTAAAATTAACTTACTAAAAAGGCAATTCACACAAACTAAAAATTATATTACAAATATTTTCAAATAAATATACAAAGTAATCACATGCTTTAGTTCACGAGTTATTCGGAAACTTCAAAACTTTTACATTGATGACACCAAGTATAATAAAAAACTTAAGCTTAACATCAAAAACAGATCAACTTATCAAATCAAATTTTGTATTATACAAATGTTCAAGTTGAACGTATTTCATTAAAAAAAGTACATATAAACTTGCTAGTAATTCTACTTTTACTGTACAATTAGAGCCATGGATTCCAGTTTGCTGAAGAGAATAAAAACTTGTAAACCTTTTTAAATTTCTCTCCATTCTCCAACACATCATGCTACCTACAAGTACATTCTGGTCAGTGACTCCAAATGCAAGCATGAAACTCCAAAGACATTTACCATACTGCTTCAAATGATTAATATTTTCTTCAACCTTGTTACTGTTTCTCTACTTCATATTTGAGGGATGATTATGTAGCATATATAACAGTAACTTTGGGGGAGGAATTTTAATTCTGCAAAACAGTTGGCAATAAGGTATTTTATGACTGTTCTTATATGTAAAAACATTTTTATTTTAAAATTATTTGAAGTTAATTTTGTCTTTGAACAAACAAAATGCAAAATATGAGAGCACTAGTAAACATTACCAAAATATATTAAAAAATAACCCACCCACCCCTGAATTGAGAAAAGGTCCCATACAATGGTCTGGCTAAGGTGGATCATGAGTTGGGAATGTTTGGGAACCCTGGAAATCTCAGAAAATAAAACATGAGACTGGATATGTTATAAAACCAACATTGTTATTAAAAAAACTCAGCTCAATAAGAAATGGACTTATCTACATAAAATACATGTTAAGCCAAATATGTTAATTCAGGATTCTTCATCTCGTCATTTCTAGCCAAGTTTATGCATATGATACTTTAGCTTTATTGAACACTTAAAAAGGACAAAATTAAGTGTAGGATATCAGAGATGGTTTACTGAATAATTGTTTTTCTCTCTGATAAGATAGCTTTCCAAGCTTTTATGAACAACAACAATAAAAATAAAATAAAATATGGGAAATACTAGACTGTGATTAATGGAAAATAAGAATGTAAATTTATAGAAAAGAAATTTAACTTTTTTTTTTTACCAGTGCTGTTATGGTTCAAGGGAAAGATAACTTTCTAGTGAAATATGAACAATGACATAAAAGGGCAAAGTTTTAGTGTTTCTTCAGTGAAGATGGGTGCTGTGCTTACAAATTGGAAGAAATTCATAAGTTTAAAGCTGCTAGCCTGCTATAATAAGAATATATATATATATATATGTGTGTGTGTGTGTGTGTGTTCATACAGACACACATACATGAAAAAACAGATAACATACACCCAAAACAAATTATTAAACTACCTTTATTCAAAGACAATAATGAGCAACAAATCTTCTGTTTAATAAAAATCACCTGCTGAATTACGTTCAAAACATACTTTTTTTTCAAAATCTTCCATGAACAAACAAACAAACAAACAACAACAAAAAAAAAACAACAAAGACACCAACAAGAAATTTTGTTTATAGGGAAAAAAATATTTAAATTTACAACATAGATTTTGGTATTTATTCTAACAAGATATTACTTCCCCCCAAAAAACAACAACAACAACTAAATACTAAATATATTTTTCAATATTAGAAAGCAAAATAGATAGTTTAAACTTTTGAAGCATATTACTATTACTAAAACAAAATAAAAAAAGTGTCAAAGAAACATTTCTTTATTTTCCAGGGGTAGTAAGACTTTTGTGGTTTTCAAGAACTGCTCTTCAGATACATTATGCTACCAATTTTAATATCTCATTTAATTTGTAATTGAAGTACAGGATTCCTACTTTCATAAGCTGTAGCTTCTGATCAACTACATGTATATATGCTTGTTTACATATGTAACAATATCTCTGAGTTGTTCTAATACACATGTGCAGCATATAAATAATGTTAAAATCTAATCCAGAGTTAACTTGGAGATACCAAGCAATTAATTTTAAGGGCTTTGGTGGTTTCATATAAATAAAGGTATATTACTATACATTTCACATTTTATCTTGTTGAATATTCTTCTATATCTTGTACTTTATAAATAATTATATTGAACATTACATATAAACATTATATTTGGAAATATTATTAATTTAATCCTTACTTAGGAAGAACACTGGAATATTTTGTTGGACCGAGTTTTGATTAAACCTGGTAAGTAATCCAAAAAAAGACCTTGAAACTGTTCCTAGCTTACATACAAAAATAAATTTAAACAAAATAGATATTAAAGAAATCTAGCAGCCACACAGTAACAATAACATTCACACATCCACACATGTACTCTCCTCATTTGGCAACATTCCAAGAAATCTAACATGTTAGTACAAACCTTACATCTATTTTCCAACACAGATGTATGAAGTACACTGCTCACAACAAAGGATAATAAAAACTTCTATTACTACATCTATGATAACACCACATCAATGTTACAAAACAATGCCATTCTCTTAACCTAATTCAGTCATGAGATCAGAAATGCAAATGGTTGTCATTTAGCCTAAGCTATATATAACACTTTCAATTTTCTCTCAGTTATTACTTTAAAGTGAGTCACAAAGTTCAAATATTCTAAACTGTTCCAGACCATGATTAAACCTTAAAGAAAACAACAGAATGTCTTACTTATGTGAAGAGACATTAGACAAAAGGAATTAAGTCAATCACAACAGGGTATTGTGAATTAGCTACAGGTGTTTCAAAGTGTTGTTAGAAAAAGTGTAAATGTTTCTAAATCACTGATGTAGTTGTTCAGACACTTGTACAAGTAGACCATCACCCAAGACAGAAGAAACTAACCATCACTGATTCTGGTTTATTACAATCACAGTGTACAGGCTCCAAGTTTGATTCAGATGTTCACAGCCGCAACTAGGCATCATGTATGTGAATAGATGGTCAGAAATAGACTTCACAATATGCCTACATGAGATGCATTTTGCTCATAGCAAGGCACAACACAACTCACCTGCAAAGGTGTAAAGAACATGTCCAGCACATCATCAACATATTTGTTCCACAGATAAGTCATGATTCACCAAGTAACTGGATAACAGGGTTACAGTTATTTGGAGAGAATGTTATTCAGACCCCCCCCCATTAATATTTCACATAAATACATTATACATGTTGTAGTGATGGCATAGTATGGTATAAGTAAGAGTAAGCAATATGTGTGTGGACTGACCATTATATCCTGTGGAATGGTATCATTAATGCCATAGATATCATACCCTCTGATGCAATTAGAACTAACTTCAGCCTAATGTGTGACAGTGCCCACAACCCCCATGCTAAACCATAAACACATTCAATCCACTTGAGTCAAAATAGAATACTCTTTGGAAATGTATTCCATACCATTATGAGACTCCAGACAGTAAAGATGCCATTAAAACAGCTCTTTCAGAGTAGTCAATGATAACACAGAAGTTTATAAAACTTTTGATTATAAACATGCAATATTGATGCTTGGCTGCACTAACAGATCATGGTGGCCACAGTTAAGGACTAATCATTTGCATTTCAGATGACATAATTGAAAATGATTGATATTTCATAACTGTGGTTTTTCCTTGTCATAGCTATAATATGCAAATTTTAATTATATACATTTAGTATATAAATAGTATACATTTATAATTTTTAATAAAAGATACATAAAATATATGTAATATAATTATTTGGGGGTATTCAGTATATGCTAAAGAGGGAGTTTTTGAACAAATATCAAGTGAATTTTGAACCTAAATAATACAAATGTGAGAAATATCTTCTTTTCCTAAAAATATGGTGAAATTTATTATCAATAAAGCAAAGCACAATATAAAATTTAACCTTCCTCCTATATTCATAATTTAGATACATCTGTTATTTTTTGTCATACTGACCAGATATAATTAAAAAAAATTAAAACAGTCTTGAATAATAGAAAACAATGTATTTTTAAATACTGTGGCACATGTTAATTTTTTATAGAAAACTATTATTTACCTCTACTATCACAGCATATGTAGTGAAATGTCCATCTTCTGTTTGATGCGTGACTGGAAATCTTGCAAATATATCCAAGACATTCTACAAAGTTTATAAATGAAATATATTTTAAAGAAATAGTCTGATTTATACACTGACATAACACAAATGTACATTTTTATAAAGCTTCATCTCTGTCTGAGTATAATTTTTATGAAACATATTAGACATACCATTATATCTAATTGTAAGACATACTGTGTACACGGGTTTTGGTAGACGTACTCAGCAACTGGAAATCCAAATGACTAAATCCATTGCTTTTAATATGGACAAAAACTTAAATTTTAGTCAATCTTTCTTTTGTGTCCTGATGAAGTTTTAAAAGTATATTTGTTTAAAAAGGACCTTACTTTCAAAGACTGGAATGTGATAAATTTATTAATTTTCTTGACATTTTAAACATGAAGAAGATAAGAATCATTACATGTATTATTTGTTTTAGTGGTAGCAAAAGAAAAGTTATTTGATTTTATTAGAAAAAATATTTCAGGAAAAAAACTGGAAAATCCACGGAATGTGATTTCTTTGCCAATGAAACATGAAGTAGGATGAAAAGCAGCAAATACCTAAAAGTGAAGCCAAGTAGAAAACTTTGAATTGAAATATCTGGCTCCAAAAATATAATCCAAACACATCTAATAGTAGCATGGTGAATGAATGGGAATATGAGAGTAAAATTCTCAATCTCCAAACGAAGTGAAGACATATATTGGTTGAAAAAAAAATAGTTCACAACCATTTGCTAATTTCCTGTGAATTTGGGAACCACAAAAAGCCAGGAATAAAACCACAATTTGGATTTAAAACTTCTCCAAATTTCTTGTTAAAAAGGGAGAAAATCTGCTGAAAGTTGAAAAAAGGTACTATTTTAAACCTAGAGAGAAGTTATTTGCAAAACAAAGATCTTCACTTATAATTTTTCAGAAAATTACCAAACTGTTTAAAGTACAATTAAAATTCTTTGAACCTTACCAAGATAAGAAAAATAAGATATCAGATGAAGACAGAAAAAAAAAAAAAGAAGCAAGACTCACATACCTGATTCAAATACAATGGGTTTTATCCTGATTCCCAGCAAATAAACTCAAGTGGATCATGATAGGAAAGAGAAATACTCAAGAAATACGTACCTGAACCACCTTCTGACCAACTGTTACCAAAGACAGAATCAGACTAAATAAAGAACAAAACATGAACGTGTCTTCTCTTTGTCAGAATGTCATCAAAACAAATCAGTTTCAATTAAACAATAAACATCCAGCAGAGAAAGGCTAAAAGCTGGAGTACCACTAATAATAAAAAAATGTATTTTCAAAACCAGAAGACAGTCTTGGTTAGATAAAATAAAAATCTTGAATTCACATTAAAATAGAACAAGAGAAATAGGAATAAAAGAGCACACAATTAAGTCCCCTTTCCAAAAGTGCCCCATAGCAAGTTTACATCAAAAAGTGGCAAAATAAATTGAGAGAATGCCATTCTAATTACTCAATTTTGTATTCTTTGGAGTTTATTAAATTTATAACATTATTTATTAACTTAATTATTTTTAACAGTGTAGAGTGGCACAGTCATGTCTCATATGCTCTCTACTGAAAGGATCCTACAAGTAGGTCAGTTGCAATCAGCCTCATAACATTTCCTACTTGTACATTTACCTACTGAATTGGAGACTACCTCCAGCAAATAAATATCTGTGTAGCTACCAACAATGGTCCACACCAAATCACCACATCTTTCCTCTATAAAATTGGAGTTGGATGTGGTTTCAGCCATTCTCCAAATGAGTATTTGTCTGATATTTGACTTCAATGTGAAACATGTCTCTTCTACAAGCAAGAAAGACTAGTGAAGATGGTTTATTTTTGTGGTGATGAAATAAAAGATACATTTTAACTTGTATGTGATATATCATTTATTATCTGTGCTCTTTTTATAGCTTGCTGCCTGTGATTCACTTTCAGAATATTAATACACTTGATTGGAGACTGTTGTTTACAACCCCCAACAAACATACACACAAAAACTACCATAAATGCTCAAAGCAACTGATATGTCTCAGCATCCCAACTGAAGAAATAGTTCAAAGCAGCAACTGGTTGTAAAATTAGTTTGCAAATGTTAAGAAGCAGGTTCCATAAGGGTTTTTTCATGTCAGAAAACTAATGGAATGGTTAGAAATGAGGAACATAGTTGAGAAGTGAATGCAATGAATGGGATTTGGGAGAGAAAGCAAGGGAGAAAATAATTATTTACAGAAAGTACAATTTAGGTATAAAAAGAGAGGTTCATTTCTCCAAAATAATATTGGTGGCTTAAAATTGTCAGAGTAAAAAGAACTGTTAATTTCACTTTTCCATGACTGGTTTATAATATACATATTTGTAGTAACATATAGTATGGTAATTTTTCTAAATTTTCATTTAGGTGTTGTGTACTAATCCATTTGTTTCTGTACACGTTGGATATGACAACAGCTATGTCATGGAAGCTTATTCCATTCTGTGTAGATTCCATAGCATGGGGCAAGTCCATCTCAACGTGGTGACAAATACTTGGGCAAGTTCGTATGAACTAGGGCTTTTCTCCCTTCTATATGTTATTTGGAGACAATCATTGAGGTAGGTAATTAAGGATTTTACAATATATAACATTAAGACCTTTTTATCTAACTTCATAGTGTGTATAACAATCCTTTCTTCTTTCATTGTCTGGTGAATATGTACAGTATTTGGAAAGTCTTCTCAAGCCCCAGCAGCCAGTTGAATACACTCTATTAAACATAAGCCAGCCAGTTTTTGTTTAAAAGCAGCATTTCTATGAATAAAGATATATTTTATTTGTTAACTTGTTTCTCCTCTGCTGTCTGTGTCCAATTCATTCTCTGCATAACATTTCAGGAACAAAACGTGTGTAGTAGGTACTTAGAACTTCCTGTCAGATATCATTGTACCTAAATACCATAAAGTTATGGGCATTAAAAATAGAAAAGTGACAGAAGGCCAACTGAGATCACCTCTAATCTAAAAATTTATTTTATTTAATTCAACATTAATATAACTTCTACATCTACAAACTTTAACACATTTCCCACTGCAGCAATTTTAAAACATGCACTAAGCCAATAATGTACAGTTACTTGCATTGTTTACTTGTGCCAAAAATAGGCAGTCCAATTCCAAGAATTGTTCAGCAACCATCATATTTACAACATCCTTCATTACAAAATGTTTGAAAATGTAAACTGGAATGGCCTCTGGCAGTAAACCTCCTGTAACCAATTGAGACTGCAGTAAAAGAAATATAAGTTGGACTAACACATGTAGCCTGGACAGTCTTCCATCCATCAACTGATGCTGGTATTCCAGTGTCATTGTAAGTATCTGAATCAGTAGTGTCAGCTATAGGCGGCTCAGCTTTTATGTTTACCTGGTCATAAAATTCAGGCTGCTTTCATCATCAGACTCGGAATCATTAGGCTCATAATTATTATCCCTATTTACATTATCCTTAACAAATGACTCAGGATAAGATTCTTATAAAATACTTGCAGTTTCACTCAGGCTAAAATGTCTGCACAACCCTGCCAGCTTATAGCTATAACGGTAACCAAAACAAACCACTGCAGAAATTTTAGGTCACATGACTTGAAACTTTAGTGAAAACATTTTTTTATGTCATTCACAAGGAGGCAGAACATGCATAATGACTGTACAGTGCTAAGGGACTGTTTAGCTGTATGCTCACGAGTAATTATGGCCCTTTTGCCAATTCATATGTTAATACATCAGTAGCACTTAACTAATAAAAATGAATGACAAGTTAACATGTCATTAGTAGCAAATGTGTTAAGATAATTCAAACTAACAACCCAAACCACATGTTCAAACAAACCATTCAACAAGTTCATAAATCTAACCAAAAGGATAAACACAGACATTGGGGTGACCCTCAAGTTGAGAGGCTGAAGTACACAGAGTGGTCACAAGTAAATAGACACCACCTTTTCAGAAAAAATGAAAATTTTCATT